CCTGATGTTATGTTAAATGTTAAATGTTTGTTGTTGATGTTACAACACATGGAGCTGCTGTGATGCAAGGAGCATTTCAGACTTGATCTGACCGTTAAAGTATTATCGTATCGTATCTACATGGAGATAAACCCTGATAACAAATTATGAATAAATAAGAGGTTTGAAATGTGCTTTCCGTCCGGTGTGAACGCACCATTAGTCCTCAACATATGAACCCTTTCTATCCTCCCTTCCCTCCTCACTTCCCTCCTCCTCTTATCGGTCGAGGCCTATGAGCAGCTTGGTCTTCTCCTCCTCCTTCTTGCTCTCGTTCTTCAGGTCTGAGAACACCTGGGTGAAGAAGTGCGGGTCGGTGTTGATCTGAAGCATCTTTCCGCTCATCCTGTCGATGATGTCCAGGCATCGGTCCCAGAAGAGCTCCTTCCTCTCCGCCTCCACCAGGAAGGGCTTCAGCGGGTACGAGATCTCGTTACCCATGTACGAGTAGGACAGGTAGAGGCAGGTGAGCAGCGACGCCTGAAGCTCTCGCTCTGAGACCACCTCGGAGGAGACCACGTCGCGGCACAGCATGTAGAGGAAGACCACGTTAGCCGGGGTGATGAAGCCTTGGTCCTGCCAGCCCTGGAGGAGCAGAGACCTGTCGACGCTCCGCAGCCACAGCACCGGGTCCGTCGGAGACAGGCGCTTCAGACGGTAGCAGCGGCGGCACAGGAACTCTCCGAGGCTGCGCATCAACTCGCTGGTGGACGCCTGGGAGGGGAGAGAAGTGGGAGGGGGATATGAGACGAGAGAGGTGGACTGAATCTGCTAAAGATATTCGAGGAAACTCCTGAGCTTTCCACTGTTTTAAAACAAAGTTCAAATCTCTACAAAGTTCATGTTCAATGCCTTGTCTGAACGCAAACATTTCCCAAAACTGGGATCAATAAAAGTGCTTCTTGTCTTATCTTTAAATAAGCTTTGCCTGTTTTTAAATCTCGTTTAAAGACCCGGGCTTTTTGGGTTTTCTATTTTCTTGTGTTTTTAAATGTTTTTTACATCGTGTGTGAAAGTTTTTTCAGTCTGTGTTTTAGGGATGTCCCGATCACCTTTTTTTGCTCCCGATCCGATTCCGATCATTTGATTTTGACAATCTGCTCGATACCGATTTTTCCCGATCCGATCTTTATGCAATGCATTAAGAGAAAAAAAATGTAACAGATAACGGCTGGTCATCCAACGCGATGAATTCAGCTATCTTGGCTGTTATTTTTTTGGCCTTTTCACTGTTCTGGGGCAGTTTCTCTTTCCTTTTAAAAGTCTCTGAACGTGTCAGTTGTTTCAGTGCCGTTACCTGAGCGGCCGCTGTGTACTCGTCGTAAAAATATAAAAATATTTATAAAAAAAAAAAAAAAAAAAAATCCCGATCCCCGATTTTTTTTTCCCGATTCCGATCTTTTGAAAATCACGTGATTGGCTCCGATCCCCGATCACGTGATCGGATCGGGACATCTCTACTGTGTTTATAAGTATGGTTTTATTGTCTCGTGCTTTGACGTCCGATCGGTTTTGTCTAAATGTATTGATGTAAAGCACGTTGGTCAACTCTGTTGTTTTTAAATGTGCTGGATCAATAAAGTTGGATTGGAAATAGAGACAAAAAAAAAAGCTGTTTTTGATGAAATATTTACCTGGATAATAACGCGTTTTGGCACTTCGGGCTGCGTTAAGCATGAAAGGTATAAATAACGTGTATTTATTTATTATCTGGCATGTTCAGGTTTTCTGGCAAAGAGACACGACTAGCTGTTTCTGATGGAATGCTTACCTGGACGATGACCCGTTTCGGCGTCCCGGTGGCGTTGGAGGGCTGGACCCCGGCGTGGGAACTCTTCCTGGAGGCTACGTTGACGTTGGCGAGGGTTTTAGAAACCGGCAGGTGGGCGACTCTGACTTTAACGTTGGCGATGGTGGAGCTCGCCGTTGCGTCCGGGCCGGAGGAAAACAAGGACAGATTCGCGCACGACTGGGATTTCTTCAGCTTCAGGCTATTAGACGCCGAACTCACGGTGATCGTGGCGTCCGGAGAGTTACCTTTCCCGTTATCTCCGCCCTCCGCCTGCAGCTTTTTCGATTCCTTCCTTTTCGCCGACACCGCCACGATGCGTTTCCATGGCAGCACGCTGATGATGGACGGACGTTTGAGGGATTTCCCGGCGTTGTTGGAGGTGTTGTCCTTGGCATCTTTGGCGTTTTTGCTGTTCTGCACCGCGGTGTAGTGTCCCACCGTCGCCGGGCCGTCATCAAACAGCGCCGCCTTCCGGTAGCTGGGCGACAGAGAGAGCACGGTGCCCATGATGATGCTTTGGGGAGGTAGGGTCAGCTGAGGGGTCGGGAGGAAGAGATTGGAGAAGGACCAGAGAGAGTCTCACACTTCAGGAGGAATCTGTGAGAGGAGAAGAAGAAGGAGTTCACACTTTATTAATCACGGAGCAGGAATTCAGTCGTGCCACAAAGTGCTTCACAAGAAAGATCAAAGGTTCAAATGAAGACCACAGAAACATGAATCCAACATGAGGCAGAGCACGTGGCGTCCTGAAAGGAACAAACATCAGAACACATCTCAAGTAGAAACAATGGCCAATGTAAAAAGGTGCTTCAATGTTGGAGCCAGAGGTCTCTTTTCTTCAGGAGCTTTTATCCGTTGTCAGAACTACATTTGGCCGAGGCAGCTTTTAGCTTTCATTTAAACACAAGCCTGGAACAAACTGCCTGACATTCGGAAAAATACGTTAACACCGTTTCTCCTTCAGCCTTATCGCACTTTGAGCTGCAGACATATTCTCGCTTTTATGAATTGTCTTTTTTGTTTGTGTGTTTGTTTTGTTTTGAATTAGTATGTGTTGAATGCCTCTGTGTCTTAAAATGTGCTTTACAAATAAACTAACCTTGAACCTTGAACCTTGTGAACTTGAAGTAAACGGTTATTTTGTGTTTTTTGTATTATTATTGAGTGTTCTTGTATTTTAATGTGTGAGTGTTTTTATACCTCTGGACTGTAGGAAACTTTCTGAGTACAAACATATTTTGAGATTGACAATAAAGTTGACTTTGACCCTTTTACACAATAACAGTCTGAATCAGGGATTTGGCACGACTTCATTTCACGAGGCCCCGTAAGAGCTTGCAAAGAATATGATACGTTTATAGAGTGGCGCAGTGACGCGTCCTAAAACCCGGACGTAAGCTGCGCATGGGTTTCCTTCCGGTTCCTTCCGGTTCCCTCGACAAAAACCCAGTGAGATCTCTCCAGAGGATTTTTGGAAAATAGCTGGAAATCAGGTTTGTGGTCGAAACGCATTGAAGAGACGGATCACGTTTTGTTCAGTCGGATAATCTCCACACGTCTACCCTACTTTGATCATTTTCTAATCATGATTCGAAAATGATAAAAGTAGGGTAGACGTGTGGAGATTATGTTAACAACAACAACAACAGCATTAGCATTAGCAACATAAACAGTCCCACATCTAGTGTTCGAAAAGGAGTGAGAAGAAGTAATTTATTTAATCTCACTCCCTTGTCCCTAAATTATTTATTTATAATCTATAATCTATAAATAATTATCATTATTATAATATTATTATTATTAATCTGCTTTACTTGTTGATTGACACATATACATATATATACACATACAGATACATATAGTACAAAGATACATACATACACACGTGTGAAGATGGAGCTCATTGTAATGACTTTACTGCTGCTGGATATCTGACCATAGCATGTACATTATTAATTGTATATGTTGTATTAGATGAAATCCTGCACCTGTAACAGCTGTCAAAGAGTAACATGTGCCCTCAAAGATGTGCTTTACACCACTGAGTATCACCTTTACTCAAACAAACGATCAGAGTTCTTTCTCGTGATGTTTTCTAGACTGCATGATCAACTCCTAATGAGATGCATTCCCTCACAGCACGATGTAAACACTGCAACATGAAGGACTGTTCTCCATCTCCAGCATGCCTCTGTCGTTCAGCAGCTCTGCGTCTCATCCCATGCAGAGAGAGGGATTAAACATGCTACACACATGCTATAAACATGCTACACACATGCTATAGCCTCCCTGTGAACACGGGGCATACTGCAGCCTCCGGGATTATGTAAGAAAAGGCCAGAGAAATGTGCGCCAGCATCCATTTTAGCTCCAAAATGGAAGCTCTGCCACACACACACACACACTGCCACACACACATGCATGAGTGTGTGTGATGCATTCATCATGTACATATGAAGAAAAGAGCCAACACACACCCGTGCATTAACGCGTATATCTCACCTCTTTGCACTGGCTTCTAATATAGTTGAATATGACATTTTGACATTTCTATATGTCTTTATAGGTTTCTAGTTATTGTTTTATTATTGTACTCCTATTGTGTTATTTTATATATTGTATTTGTTCCCTTGACAGCACTTTGGTCCACTGAGGTTGTGTTAAATGTGCTGTGTAAATGAATACAGATTGAGATTGTAAAATAAATGGCACTTCCATGTTCCTACCTTGTGATTAATGTACTCTCCTCCTGGACTCCATCACCCCCTCAGGTCCAAAAGCTCTCCGCTGCCCGGGGTCTGGTGCAGAAAGGCTCGGTTCCGGAGCTTGTTTCCCGGTGCCTCAGATCCTCATGCGTAGAAACAGCGTCCCTCTCTCGGTGCGGAAGGGAACGAGCTTCACTCCTTCTTCTTCTCCTCCTTCTCCTTCTCCTTCTTCTTCTCCTTCTCCTTCTTCTTCTCTCGCAGCAGCAGCAGCAGCGGCAGCAGCAGCAGCTCGCTGGAAGATGTCTTCCATCGAGAGGCTTTAATATCCTACGATGCCCGCATCCCGCGCGCACACAGCAGGGGGGAGACCCGCGGAGAAATCTCTGAAAACATAAAGATGGAGCGGAGAGGGGAGAAAATGGCCTCTATCAAATATTCCAAAGATAGAAAGCAGCTTGAAGTTAGTCGCTGCTCTGATGCGGGAATCTGCAGTTATTCGGGTTGGATGTGCGAGAGAAACGGAGCCTTCTGATTGGCTGCTGGCGGGATCCTGCTGCAGCCAATCATAGAGGAGCGCTGTCTGAGGTGCTGATCCTGCAGAGAGGAGGAGGAAGAGGAGGAAGAGGAGGAGGATTTTATGAATGACTCTCTCTCTCTCTCCCCCCCCCTCTCTCTCTCTCTCTCTCTCTCTCTCTCTCTCTCTCGTGCTCTCTCTCTCTCCCCCCTCTCTCTCTCTCCTCCCCCCCTCGTCTCTCTCTTCTCTCTCTCTCCCCCTCTCTCTCTCTCTCTCTCTCGGCCTCGCTCCTTCCTCTGGTCCTCTCTCCCATCCTCTCTCTCTCTCATCACTTCTGTCGTCTCTCCCCCCTCTCCATCTCGTCTCCTCTCCCTCCTCCCCTCTCTCTCTCAATTCAATTCAATTGCTTTATTGGCATGAATATCAGGTGAACAATATTGCCAAAGCGTCAAGGATAACCCAATTCAATAGTGATATGATAATTAAAAAAAAGAAAATACAATTCATTCATCAAACAATTTACAACAATATATTATTACAAAGTCAGAGCAGAACATGCTTGTAGATCACGGTGTAAGAACGTGGTAGTTGGACTCAAGGGCGCCGGAAGCCCCTCTACTCTAAAGTCGCATCTAAAAGACATCTGATCTAGCTGTGTGTGTTTATGTGTGATTGTTATATTCAATCCCAGAGCTACAGGCCTGTGTGAAGCTTGTGAAGGGAAGCTGACACCTCTCACTCGCCACTCTGCTGTTCCACACGCCGCCCCCCCTCCCTCTGCTGACATTATGAATGTAAGGCGTATAGTAATCATAGATAACACGGCAGGGTCCGTTACAGTTTGTTTTCATCTGATTTCAATTAAACAAAGACTTGGCTTTCAGAATATTAAACTTGTTTCAGCAAATTCAGATAATAAATACAACTTTGAAGCTTGGAGACATAATTACAAGCTGAGAACGGAGCAACTTGACGTCACAGCAGGCGTTATAACAGCTGGGGTTTCTCCTGAGTGTTTTCCCCGGGAAACAAACACAATACACACAAACGCAAGATTACACACACACACACACACACACACACACACACACACACACACACACACACACACGTATACACACACGTATACACACTTATACACACACACACACACACACACACGTATACACACACGTATACACACACACGTACACATACACACGTATACACACACGTATACACACACACGTACACACACACACACGTACACACACACACACACACACACACCGACCCAGACACACACACACACGCAGACCCACACACACACACACACCACACACACACACGTACCACACACACACACACACACACACACACACACACACACACACACACACACCACACACACACGCCATCATACCCACACACAACACACCACACACACACACACACACTTACACACACACCCACACACACACACACACACTTACACACACACACCCACACACACATACCCACACACATACCCACACACACAACACACACGCATACCCACACACACACACCCACACCACTCATACCCCCACCACACCACACACGCACTCATAACCACACCACACACACACACACTACACACACGCACCACACTCAACCCACACACCACACACAAACACACACACACACACACCCACCACCACACCCACCCACACACACCACACACACACTCATACCCACACACACACACACACACACACACTCATACCCACACACACACACACACACACACACTCATACCCACACACACACACACACACACACACCCACGCCACACACACACCACACACACACTTACACACACACACACACACACCACACACCCACACACACACACACCACACCCACTCACACACACACACCACCCACACACACCCACACACACAACCCACCACACACCACCACACACACCCACACCCACACACACACCAACACACCACACACACACACCCACACACTCACACACACAACACACACACACCCACCCACCACCCTCACCCACACACTCACCACACACACAACACCACCCACAAGCACAACACACACACACCACACACACACACATACACACACACACACACACACCACTCACACACACACACACACCACACACTCACACACACACACACACAACACACACCTCACACACACACACACACACCCACACACACACCCCACTCACACACACACCACACACACACCACCAACCTCAAAACACACACACACACTCGCGGGCTTCCCCCAGACCAGCAATCCAAACGAAAATATTTTCCCTCCGTTACTTTGATCATTTGCTGATAACCAATCAGATCGATGGATTCCAGAGAAGAGGAAACTTTAAAGGCCTTTTTCTCAAAATGATGACTCTGTAACAGTCATTATATCATGTGACATATGTTGCTTAATATTTGGAGTACAACAACAATCCTGATATCATTAGAAAGCTATGAATCTCCTCTTTCCAACAGCGTATACAACTCAAAATGTGTCTTCGGGTCAATGCGACTGATTTCGATGGAGCAGGTCACTTTGCATTAGGTAAAATAAAGCAGGCAGACATAACAGGAAGAATATGTATTTTAATCCAATCAAACAGGACATTGTCACACCATTCAAATGTATTTGTTACGTTGTTTACGTTATTTGTTACGTTATTTGTTACGTTATTTGTTACGTTGTTCTGTGTGTGTCAGCCGTTAACCTAGATAGATAAACTTGCAAACATGTCAGAAGAACCGGCGCATAAGAAAACAAAATCCAGTCAAACTAAATTGAAATTCAACAACTTGAATGTCACATCCCTGACATCCACGTCTCCGGAGCCTGGCCCTTCAACCATAGAACCAGCGCAGCCAGATGAACCCAGCAGAGACTGTCAAAACCGCCGCCGCCGGCATCGTTGAACCGAAACAGGCTGGTTCCGACTGCATGGAGGTTTGTTCTCGGGACATAGAGAGCCGCAGTGACGCGTCCTAAAACCCGGAAGTAAACTCCTTCCGGTTCCTTCGTCAAAAACCAATGCAATTTCTCCATAGGATTTAGGAAAATAGCTGGAAATAAGGTCTGTGGTTGAGACGCATTTAAGAGACGGATCACGTTTTGTTCAGCCGGATAATCTCCACACGTCTACCTTACTTTTATCATTTTCAAATCATAAATCTAGTCGCCAGAAGCAAAATGCTAACGTTATGCTATAAAGGAACTACAGCAGGGTCGCTGCTTCAACGTCACGCCGACTTCAGATCCATATTCAAACATACAGATTCTAAATGGTACGAGTTGAAGCGTTTGTTTGAACAGTCTGCAGGAGGCAGGTACTTGCTTTCAAGCAGAACAGGGCAAACTAACTTAGAGGAGTGTTTACGTGTTCGGCGTAATGACGTACAACGTCCTCCACGACTTCTGTAGTCCTATTCAGCCACTTGGTAACAACCATCGCTTTTCAGACACGTACACTCTTCAGAAATCACCAGAGGGGTCACTGCTGATGGATTTAATGTCCTAGAACAAAACGTGATCCGTCTCTTCAATGTGTCTCAACCACAGACCTTAGTTCAGCTAGTTTCCTAAACCCTATGGAGAGATCCCATTGCTTTTTGTCGAAGGAACCGGACGTGGTAAAAATGCTAACTTACTTCCGGGTTTTAGGACGCGTCACTGCGGTTCTCTATTGAGACGGGCAAATAAAAGCTTATTTGGGCAAAGAGAAAGGTACTTCAATGCAGAATGCTACACAAACAGAGAGTGGTTAATTCTTTGCAAAACCACTAAACGAGCCTTCTGTCAAACGGCTTGTAACTTTCTCCAAATGTGGAGATGACAGCTTTGTAAATACCGGAGTTAATAAGTGGAGCTTTTCACAGAGCGTGTGTTCAAAAAAGTGTGCTTACTTCAGTCAAACACCAGTCAGCATTCAGCTTGTCAAACAAGAGCGTACTGAGCAGGAACAAAGGAGAGATGGGATGATGGAGCAACTGCGCTGTCATGTGTGGGCTGGAGCTGCATAGTTCAATGTACAGGAAAGGAGTGAGCAGAGGGTCGAGTGGTCCATTCTTGTTCTGTTTTCTGTGACTATCTTCCTCCTGAACACCCTCTCAGACTTTCAGTTGCGCGTGCTACTAAAGAGACGCGTTCGTTACCATGGAAACCAAACAATGGTGTAGCTGTATTGAAGTCCGAGTGGAAACAGTAACATTTGGAGCGTTATGTTAGAATGAAACAGGTCGTGACTCACAAATCAGATTTAGTCAGAAATCGGGAGAAATGTGACCCCGGGAGGAAAATGGGACTCTCCCGCGAAAATCGGGAGGGTTGGCAAGTATGTCACATACACACGCACTTTGTGGCCCCCCCACTTCTGAAATGAATCCGGCTCCGCTGGTTGGACTGCATTTCTATAACCCTTTCCCAGTCTTTACCCTTAGAGCAGCATTTACCAATTTACAGCCAATCAGAGAGAGGCTGCCATACAAGGAGCCCACTGCTCAGAGAAACTAACATCCACACACATCGGCCATCAGGAGCAACGTGGGGTTAAGTATCTTGCCCAATTTACACCAGGATCAAACCCCCAACCCTTCCATTGGTAGAAAACCTCTCACAGCCCCAGACCCCCAAACTGGTGTCTGGACCCCCTCGACTCTAACCATCAGATCAATGTCTCCCTGTGCGGCAAACTCAAGATATCAACATGTTCAGATCAGAAGTCACGAAGAGCGTGCTTTGACGTAAATCCAAAACCCAAAGATGACTTGATAACTCTAACGAGTACAAACAGTTCTTCCCACTCACCACTAGATGTCGCTGTCTCCTGATTCTTCACCTCT